GTATACAGTTCGTTCTTTGGTTTTTAAGTGTAAAACCAAAATGAGAAAAAATGTATTTTTATATTATTATTTTTCAACTAAATTAGAAAAGCAACTATTGCAAAAGTAAAAATGCTCTTTTTTTAATTTATAGTTTAAAGCAATGACAAGCTTTGTATTTTGTTCGTGACCGTTTGGAACCATAAATCATGACCTTCAGAGTTTTCACTTCTCACCATGAATATGTTTGTCTTATTTGGAGCTATCAACACATTAAGAGCTGATGATCTTACTGTGAACAAAATTGCTGTAATATTCCAGTTTATGCAGAATATGGTTTAACTGCAGTCTGTCAATATTGTGATTTTATATTGAACCATACATGGTTTTTAGTTTTGGGGTGCCCACTCCAGGATTTTCAGCAGCCACCTTTGTAAAAATTCTGGAGGCACCCCTGTTTCTTGAACTAAACATTTTCTGAAATTCACTCATTTAATGTAATAAATGCACAAGGGGGAAATGAACAAACTGAAATATTAAGTTGTTCAATTTCTAATATATTTTAAAAGTAAACAGCTGAACAAATCAGAGTCCATTCATTACTTGCTGACTGTGAAACCAGAAACTCCTGCTTTAGTAACCATTTCCTTTTTTTACTGTCAACTGCTGATTTACCACCTGCAATGTCAGGAAAAGCTGAATAAATATGTTGTATGTTTCCAAAATAACTTTAGTTTTCAAACAGTTACCTTGTTGAGGTGCATTAGTTGCATGTTTATTTTTACGGTTAGATTTCAAGGAAAAAGTAAAAAAGAAAGACGAAGCATTTAATTTAATTACTCAGTGTCAGGTGTATGGGGTGCCAAGTGTAAAATGAAATATTTAAAAAATGTGATTACCACGTTGCTCAGTTTCTGAGTGTAAAATCATACCTAAAAATGTCCACAAACATTTTATCATTTAGCTCATTTTTCATACATTTTGCAAATTTTTACAAAATGTTACATTTAAATGTTATGTTTAAATGTTAAATATCCTACATCTAAATGTGTGACTCTAAATGTAAAAATGAAATATTTTAAATGTTGCAGCTAAATGATAAAAATTATTTTTAAAATTTTCAGAATGGAACAAGCCTTTGCTGTTGGTGCGCAGCTTTTGTTGTGATGTCATCATACTGCGACAAGAGCAAATGCTAACACTGCTAGCGCTACTGAAGACTGAACTCAAACTGTGTTCATTAAAAACAATGTGATCCGGTAGTTTGAAGTATAGTTTGGACACAGACCAGGTTTGATGTCATGTAAGAAGCATTAGCAATGTTAGCAGAGTTAGCAGCATTAGCAGTGTTAGCAGCATTAGCAATGTTAGCAGAATTAGCAGCGTTAGCAGAGTTAGCAGCATTAGTGTTATTAGCAGAGGTAGCAGCATTAGCTTATATACACTCAGTATATGGTGCTAGCTCCCACAATAAATGATGAAAGCTCCAAAGCTAAATTACTGAACATCATGTTTGATCGTTATTTTGTACGGAGCCTTGAAACTATTTAAAATATAACTTTAATCACACGCTTTTTATCCTTGACTCTGTTTTAGTCTCTTATGTAACCCATCACCATCATCATCATCATCATCATCATCATCATCATTCATCAGTGCATTGCGGCTGTCACAAAATGTCAAAGCACATAAGTGAAAAATGTAATAAACAGACAGTTTTTGAAGTAATTAGATGTTTTCGTGTCACAAACAGCATCTTTTTTTTAGATCGGAGTAATAAGTTAATCAGAGATCCTTTAACAATACATCAGGTATCTAAAAATAGCTTCCTGCCTGCCTGGTGCTCTGGTCTGTATTTACAGCAGGAAGTGAACCTCTGCTCTGAGACACATCCATGTGGACGGGGTTGGGTGAAACACACAGCCCTCCCACTCACACAGGAAGTAAAACTGAGCAACAACTGAAAGGCAGCAAAACATCTGCCAGCTGCAGTTTTACACTCAGAGGACAAAGTTTCTGCTTCAAACAAGGTAGGAAATTCTCTCAGCTCTTCCCTGTTTTCAGTGCTTTCAGGGGGAAAAAGCACAAAAACAAACATGGTTTTTCAGAAATCCTTTTCCTGCTGATGGAATCTGTCCCTGTTTGGAACAAAGAAGTAATTTCTTAGAGGGGTTCGAAGGAATGAAAAGAACATAATTTGTTCACTCGTTTCAGAAAATGGCTGCCCCCCGAGTCTTTCTCTCTCTCGCCGCTGATGACTCATCCAACATCTGCCCTGAACGATGCTCCCTGCCAGCGCTCCAAATGGAACAACGCCTTCCAGACGTTCATCAGACGCCACCTCCCCTCCGGAGCGCCCAACTCTCTGAATCCCGACGAGTGGAGGAAGTACATCCAGAGCGTGGGGAAGTGCGACAGGCCCACGCAGTCCTTCCTGCACCCGGAGGACCTGGACCGGGTGAAGGCGGTGTGCTCCAGCAGCGGGGGGAAGGTGTACCGCAACAACCTGTGCATCAGCCGGCAGCCCTTCACGTTCGTCACCGTGAGGAGCGTTCACGGCACCTGTGGGATCAAGAACGTCACGAAGGAAACCAAACACCTGATCCTGGCCTGCGAGCTGTTGGAGGATCAGTGCGTGCCGGTCCACTTTGAAGGAAACCCTAAAAACCAGAAGCCTGAAAACAACGCCTACAGCTGCCAGGACCCGGATAAACGAAACCAGGCTGTTAGCTGCAGGATGACCTGGTTCTGCTTGTTTCTTCTTCTGTGTTTTGTTTACGGCTTTTGACTCTTTTTTTAAAACAATACCCAAGATTTAAACAAGACTAACGTTCTGTTCTGAGGACATGCTCTCCGGTCAGTCGTGATATTTTACGCGTATTTTTAAAACAGTATTCGATCACAAGTGTTTGATCATTTCATTTCATAGGAAATGTTTTTTTACTCGAGTTTTAGTATTTATATTATATGCATGTATTTTCAGTCCATGTTGAAGTTTGATAGTAATAGTGCATGAACTTTCAAATGAAAAACATAAATGTTTTACATAAGCAGCTCATTTTGTTGTTTTTCTGTGCGCTTCACAAACGTCAGACAAAAACTTAAAAAGTATAAATTCTCTAAATGTGGAAAAAAAGGTACAAAAAGAAAAGCTGATAAAAAATTAACGAGTTGAGTTTCAACACAAGCTCTGTAAGTCAGATAACAGTTAGTCTGATCAGCTAATAATTAGTCTAATGAACTAGGGGTGTAAGAAAACATTGATACACTGAAATATCACGATATTTTATTTCCCGATTCTGTATCGATATTCTAAAGCCCTGTATTGATTTTTAATTAAGGTTTAAAATGTCAACTTTCCTGCCGGCCGTTCATTTTTTTATGTTGTAGTTCAGCCTCTGACCACTAGTTGGCAGCAGTGAGCCAGACATTTGGCTCCTCTACCTCTTGAGCACCAGAGAGTAAGAGAGCATTAGCATTGTGAGTAAACATTAGCTTCATHCWRCGATAGCTGAATCTGAGCAGAAAAGACCGACACCCTCTGCCCTTTAAGCTGAGGTAAGATTACAAACAGTTATTTATTTGTCAGAATGTCTATTTTAAGACAAATTAAGTGTTTCGTGCGCTCTTTTTTTTTTTTTCCAATTTTAATCAGCCTTCAATTTACAAAAGGCTAGTGCATGTGTCTAGCGCCTGGAGCTCGGCGCTCCCTCCGTGACATAAAACTCTGTTGCTCTCAATGTCCGGCTGATCACATCAGAGTCCATAAACTTTAAGTTTATCCTGCTGTGTTCGCTTCAAAAACAGTTTAACTGTGTTGTTTAGCTTCTCCATTTATTTACTGTTTATTTTCGGGACCTGCCCTGCTGTTCGACCCACAGTTATTTAAATCAGGTTCTGGATGCAGAACCAAAAAAAAAAAAAATCACAATATATATATGTGCCATTTGTAAAGTTACACAGTCAAAAATTGCCACTAATATTTTTGTTTTATTTAACCTTTTATAAGAAAAAAATAACAGATTTATTTTTCAAAGTCAGTTTTTCACCATATGATTCATACATTTATAAATG